ATGTTGTCCTATTTTGGATTAAGTGAAGGGTTTTCGGGTGAGACAATGTTAACTGTATGTTACATCTTGAACATAATTCCAAATAAAAAGAGTAAGAATACACCTTATGAACTTTGGTGTAAAAAGGTATCAAATTTGAGTTATCTCAAAGTTTACGGATGTAGAGTAGTTGTTATTGGATAAGGTGTCTAAGTCCATAACTAATTCTGGTATGTACTTGACCCGATTTGGCATGGTCCATTTGGGTTGCATGGCATAATGCATTTGGTTAGACTAAAATGAGAGAAATAACACTTATGGTTTATTAATATATTATAAGTTCTAATATATTAATAATACTATTTAATTAGAATTGATCAAGAATTAATTTAGAATTAATTAAGTGATCAAAAAGGTGACTAATTAAATATATAGGTTGATTGTGTAAATCATCCATACTTATATAGTGGGATAATGCTTCATGGATTATCAAGTTGGGCTTAGACCCATTGGATGCTCCATGGAAGTGTAAACCTATGGGTCATGGAAATGAAGAGTCATGACAATTAGGGTTTACATGGTGTAACCCTAATTGTAACACATTATATAATAATCCTTATGTTCACAAAAATCAGCCACTTAAGGAAGAGTGAGAGAGCATAGCCGATTTCTAAGTGTGTGACATTTCTCTCGCGTCATTCCAAAAGCATTTGGTGTTGTGTGAGACATTTGAGGCATCACACTTGGGGTGCTAACCTCACAAGGTTTTCAAGGAATCCAAATTGCTATAAGGTATGTATTTCTAGCTAGCTTTATGTTTAAAGTTCCCCATGTATGTTAGATAGGATTAAGAACCATGGAAATCAAATTTTGCATGTATTTTGGACAAACATAGATCAAAGGTTTCTAGGGTTGCATGTTGTAACGACCCAAAATTCAAGACCAAAAATTTCTTTTAATAAAACATTACTTTAAGCAAAGTCATCATTCCAAAACATAATCTGAGTATAAGTTTTCAAAACACATGTTCACTAGAGTAAACATCCCCAGGTTGTCTAATCTATGGTGTGTGCCATGCGATCACCCCGAGCTCTTCCCTCCGCTACCAGAAGTACCTGAAACCAAAATTGAAAACCATAAGCACGAAGCTTAGTGAGTTCCCCACCCTACCACATACCATGCATAATCGCATACTGCACATACTGGGCCACGCCCGCTATCTTGGGCCTCGCCCCTGCCTCGGGCCTCGCCCGCTATAACGGCCCCGCCTGGCTTCGAGCCCCTCTCGGATATAGATCTGTTTCACTCAGGCCTCGCTTGTGACAGGGCCTCGCCTGCCAACGAATAATAACACATAAACATATCAGAAGCCATAAACTAAACACATACAACTGGTTCTATCTTAAGTCCTCGCCTATCCTGGGCCTCGCCCTTGTTTTGCTACTGATGAGCCATGGAACCCCGTCCACGCTCCTACCGGTAGTGAGATACGGGCCCAGCCCCCTCTCACTCCTTCCCTAACTTGGGCCTCGCCCCTGTTATGCTACTAATGAGATGTGGAACACCATCCACACTCTGCTATTGGTGAGATACAGGACCTCGCCCACACTCACCTCCCTACCAGGCACATACATGTATCACACAGACGACAAGTATAGACTATCATATAAACAAATCCTTGGGCACCAGCCCGCTATTAAGGGACCCCGTCCTGAAAATCATACTAGCATAATGTGCCTAGGGCTAACCCCCGGGTCTTCTACTCATAACTACATGGGCCAGCATTGTGGCCTTAGACCCATTCACACAAAGGGAAACTCACCTGCACTGGCTGAACTTGCTGATGATCTCACTAGCTGCTGCCCGGAAACTCACTGAACTCCTGCTCCCCTTGCTCCCCAAACTACCAATATCAAAGCAACACTGAGCCTAACTGACCCCCGAAAGACAACCAAGTCAACCCTGGTCAAAGTCAAAGTCCTGGTCAAAGTCAACCTTCCAGGTCAACCCTACTCGCCGAGTCACCTTACTGACTCGCCGAGTTCAAATGTTCAGATTCCTTCCATTCGCGTCTCGACTCGCTGAGTCAGTCCATGACTCGCTGAGTCTACTGATATCTGAGTCCTGACCTTTCCAACTCACCGAGTCTCCACCGTACTCACTGATTCGAGTCTCAACTCGAAGGGTTTGGGGTTTCGCAACCTAACTCACCGAGTCCAAGAACAAACTCGCCGTGTACAAGGCAATCTTCATCTGACTTGACAAGCTGTTCATCCCACTCGTCGAGTTGCTCCTCACCTTCATGCTACTCACCGAGTCCACTCAAAGGACTCGCCGAGTCCATTCAGATCTTCTTACATGCAGAGGACTTTTGAGTCATGGATGGACTCCAAATTGTAGATCTACCCTTCCCAAGCCTATTCCTCACGTAAATTTGCAAACTTTACGTGTAAAGAAGGAGATCTAAGCAAAATACACCATAAACTAGGGTTTAAGGCAAAGAGGCTCCAAAATAAACTCAAGGGCTGCTACTTTATGCTTCTCAAGACCATAATGAGCTTAGATCTGAAGTAGCAACTACAGATCTGGCTTCTAACTCAAAAAAGGTAACTAATCATGGCTAGAAAACCCCCAAAACTCACAACCATACTAGATCTAAAGGAGAGAACGACTTAATACCTTCAATAACTCAGAAAACTTGACTAATCTTCGGATCCAAGGCCAATCCTTGAAGCTTCAATGATTCCCCTTCTTCTTCTTCCTTCAAATCACCCCACAAATGGCTTGCAAGCTTGAATGAGCAACAATAGGGCTTAGGGTTCGATGTTCTGGGTAAAAGAGGCAGTAAAGGAACCCTAGGGGTGAGAATGAGACGTTTAAATAGGCTCCAAGTCCCGATTTTAGGGTTTTCCTTGCACAGACCAGACTCGTCGAGTCCCCTTGGCCGACTCGCCGAGTTGGTCACTTACTCCTCGACCCGGATCCCGCTCGGACTCGCCGAGTTCATCCTTGGACTCGCCGAGTCTCCCTTAAAATTAAGGTTTTCTTTCTTTTCATGGCCTTCCAAACTTCGGGTGTTACAACTCTCCCCCGCTTAAACTAAACTTCATCCTCGAAGTTTGCTATGATCCACTGCCTGCGATCTGCCTCCAATACCCCACCATTAATTCTAACACCAGCTACCTACCTTCATCGGCCTTTTGCTCAGTCATTCAGACTAACGTCGATCCTTACAGACAATAATCTCGGGTGCATCCTGACCCTGAACATCCTAGAAACACAACTTACTCAACCGACAATCTTTCTGGTAATCTCCAAATACTGCACTGACCCCATAGGGGTTCACCCCTTCTTTCCTTGCACGATTTCCTTGCCTCCCCAAGGCAATGCTCCATAACCATCTATCCCCTCTGCCACTGTGAAGACCCTTTTCCTCACCAAATCTATTACTCCCGCTACTCCCAGTACGGGTCATCATCGCCAGTATCCACTAGGCATTCTTTCTACTATCATTTGGTGTCGAGCCCCCCCCCCCCCCCCCCCCCCCCCCCCCCCCCCCCCCCCCCCCCCCCCCGCGATCAACTAACTGAATTCCACCATACACTGCATACTCGCACTGCTATTGACTGGAAATTCTACTATTCCTTATCGGGCTTCCGGATGAACTGAGACCACCCTGGTCCCTACCAACCTATCAATATCTGGATTACCGACTTCCACCGATCGCTGACCCAACATAACCACTAGTCGCTCCCAACACTACAAGAAAAAGACCCTTTTACGACGTTCAAAATACGACGCTCATTGATTTATGTTACGCAAGAGAGAGTGACATTAAAAAAGTGTCATCTCTTAAAAAAATTTAAGTATATATGTCGCGCTTTATTGAGTGCCCTTAGAGTTAGTGTCTAGTGTAAAAAACTTAAAAACACGGAGGGCACTTAATGTAAAATGTGCGCCGTCTCAATGAATGCCGCATTATAATTTTAGTGAAAGGCGCGCGTCTCTTCACAGTAATCGAGGTTACTAATAAAATATCTAACACTCACTATTCATCACTCACTTCACTCTCTACGATTCGATCAACTTGAGACCTCGAATCGCCTCCCCTTGCAGACAACGTATCCTCCTCCGATCGTTACGTTACTTCTCCTCATTTGCAGGTTTCGTTCTCTGATCAAGTTGTTGTTCGGGAAGGAATAACGAATTCATCCTCTCCACCAGCCGGCAATCTTTACTCTCTCCTTCTCCTTTTCTCTGTAAACCCTAATCCGCCTCCACCACTACTGAATCCCTTTTGTTTATCCTAAAGGAATAACGCAACCAAGCTCGTATCTCAGATCAAGTACTCCGACGTGGAGTTGAGAATTGAGGGCCCGCTTCAGCTCACACCCTCGCTGACGTGCATCACTTAATATTCCAGGCCATTGAGGTTTGATCGACTTGAGGCTAAGCGGAGTGGAGCTCGCCACCAACCTCGCTAGGCTCGCTAGCGAGCTTGAAACACTGTCCCCTAGCACTCTCTAGGGGGGTTGCTAAATCAAAATCGCTAATTGCTTGGCGAGAGGAGAGAAGGAAGTTTGCTGGATTGTGATTGGCTACATTCTCGTTCAATGGATCCAACCCAATTTCATTTGAACAATCGAACCATTCAAAACTGGGTTCCAATCGATATCGCCTTCAAAATCGCCTCCTTTCTTTAGGTCTGTTGATTTCTTTCGCTAATCTTCTTCCAATCGATTTTTCAATATTTTGAGAAATTACAAATTAAGAATTGCTTTCTAATTTTGGAAAATTTTTCTATGAATTCAATTTGGCATTCTAAAGTAATTGGAATCGGTTTTCAACTCCCCCCCCCCCCCCCCCACGTTCTCACAGTCGATCGTGAATCGATTTTCAGGTTCTTCCAAGATTTGGGTTCCGATTTCGTATCAAAAGACTTCACCTTCAGGCGAAACAAAAGCCTAGGGCTCAGTTCGATTAATTGGTAGCAAAAGTCAGACGTAATCTCAAAAGTTGGCATGGAAAGAGTCTCGGAATCCACTTCAGGTAAGTTATTCAACACGGATTGTCTATCTCTTATTTCTTCTCTCAAATTAATAGCAGTCGACACAAGAACTTTGAGAATGTTATCTGGTGCTTTCTTGATTTTCACCCAAATTGTGTTTTCTTCTTATGATATGGCAAGTTCGTTTATTAAGTTGCTACCCCAATCGACACACAATTATATTAGTACCGGCCAAATGTGCTACAAGCCTACTCCATTGTTAAGGATACTGAAGATGACCAATCTTACCTTGAAGACTGTGGTAGCGTTGATGATAATCCCAATGATTCATCCTGGAGAAATGTGGTTATCTGGACTGATGGAAGGTGAATATTCAGATTTAAATATTGAAGAGAAATTGAATGCTCTTTTGGCTCTGATTGATCTGTAAAAAGTAGGTTCCAGTATAAGAACAGAGGTAAATTAAATAATATAATTTCTTTCATAGTATTTTGCAAATTTACTGCATCATAATTCACATAATCTTTCAGGAACCTGTATCATCATCATCATCATCATTGGGTGCTCAGTGTGTTCCTCCCAATGTTTATCATATTGGTTATGGAGCAAAAATAAAGAGATCAAAATCAAAGCAACTTGAGAACGAGTTCAACCAGCTGATTCATAGTGAGAAAGATGAAATGCAAGATATGCAAGTTGATTCATCAGCAATTATCTCATTGATCGTAGGTATAATTGATACTGGATTTTCGTGGGCCCGTGTACCACATGTGATCCATGCCACAAATGGATTTACTTTGAATCATCTGAAGATTGAGGGATTAAGGTTTAAAAATTTAAAGTCTTTTTTCCATTTTTACCTGCTACAAGAAACTGTTTTACCCTTGCTCTAGGCAAGGTTGATTATCACTTCACTTGTATATATTCTTATAAATTCTTACTAGTATTCACTTAATAAACATCCAATATTTTTCTTTTTAATGGTAATACAGGGTCCAAACAAAAGGATACTTAGCTAATTATCAATGCTTGAAAGACGAATGGCTCAAGGCAAGAAACAGTTCTTGTTTTATCCAGTGTGGTTGTTTATGTTATATATGTGTGTGTGTGTATATATATATATATATATATATATATATATATATATATATATATATATATATATATATATATATATATTTTGTGAATCTAAACATTTTTTTATAAATCTTTAGGTGCTAATAATCAAGAGGAAATTGTCGTTGAAAGCATAAAACACGCAAAGGAAGCTATTGCTTTAGATGTCAAGGATGGGAATTCATGGTGTAAGTTTATTGCATAATTTATCATCAATACATAAGAATTTATGTGTATTGGCGATTTTACCCTTTCTGTTCTTCCAACAGACAACTTGGGGAATGCTTGTTTGACATGTTTCTTTGTCACGGGGGCATGGGATCACAGCAAATTACATCAGTCTTTAAAAGCATACCAAAATGTTGTATGTTGGAAATCTACTTTGTAGATTTGACTTGAAAAAGTCAACTTTTATCTGATATTGTTTCTTTCATGATGTAACAGGAGAAAGATGAAAGCATGAAGTCAAACCCAAACTTATATTTCAATTCTACTACTGTGAATACATATCTGGAAAATTACGAAAGGGCCCTCAGTGGATTTGAAGCAGCCGCTACATCAAAAAATCCTTGTCTTAATGCCACCGAGGAAGTTCAAAAAATGGTCAATCTTTTTAACAAGCTAGACACTTTGTTGAAGGCAAGTTTCTGTCTTTGTTATTACCTTTTTCTTTTTAAATTTCAAGAAAATTGTATCTTAAATATTCAGATAAATAAAAGTAGAAATCAAGATTGGTTTTCTTGGATGAGAGCTTGAGTCTTTGATGTGAACTAACTATTTGTTTTACAGGGACAAATCAAGGCCAAAAGGCTAGCTTCTTAATTAATTCTCACAAAAGGTGGTTAACTCTCTTATCAACATGTATCCTAGCTTCTACTAATTATCAATGTTTATGTGTTCAGGTTTGTCCAATCTGTTGTTGCTTTTACTATCTTTTGAGAAGGCAACAGGGAAAAAACCACTGGGGATCATATTCTACAGGTATACATAAATATAATTTCAAGTGGTACAATTAAAGAAAAAAAACTAAATCTTCACTTTGTTTTTTATTTGCAGGGATGATGTAAGTGATGGGCAACTAATGAGCCGAAAGCAACTTCTTTAATATAAGAGTGGGGACACTGCTGTCTGTTGGTGGATGTTGTCTTTATATGATGCAGTGGGTTCATCAGAGGGACTGGAGAGGACCTGAACCCTTTCATTCCATGAAAAGTACAAACAGAGCCCCTGTTATCGGTTGTAATTTGCACTTTCAAGAGTGGGCCACCTACTCATAGAGTTTTGAAGTCGTTGGGCTGCATTATATGACAATGTTTCGATCAATTGTCCAAGTAGGCGTCTGAATTCCAATGTCTATAGTCTAGAATATCAACAGTATAAAAAAAAATTAATTTGATGAATACTTATTAATGCAGGAATAGGGCTTTGAACTTCCAATAGGGAATATTTTAGATCGTGCAATGATCAAATATATAGATTTCTTGCTGGCAACAACATCTGGAAAAGCAGTAGCAGAGAGATTCCATGGTAAGCTCGCAGCTCCATTTGAGAAAACTAAGCTTTCTGCTTATGCCCTTGCTGCCATGGTCGAGAGTGCTGTTCTTTCAGAGGTAAAAAAAATAGTAAAATCCTTTTCTTTATTTTGGAAAAAGACTTAATTACCTTTTTCTTTAACAGGAATTAATGCAAGGTTTTGATCATGAGACTGCTGCTGTAGTAGTAGCTAGATTAACTTCTTATAAAATGGAAATGGAGGTGAATTTGCACTTTTCTTTCTAGTACTTTTTGCACAAATCAAATATATAAATTTTATTTACAGAATCACCCTTTTCAGGAATCATTTGATGCAACAAGGTGGATAGATAGAAACCTAATTTGTCTATGTTCCAAATTTGGGGACTATAGAAAAGATGACCCTTCTTCATTTTCTTTAAACCCTAGTTTCTCATTGTTCCCTCAATTCATGTTCAATCTTCGAAGATCACAGTTTGTTCAGGTAAAAAGTTGTTAATTTACCGAATTGCCCTTTTGTTATATGTTCTTAATTTTATGAAATGTTGGCAGGTGTTAAATGATATTCCAGATGAAACTGCTTATTTTCGAATGATGTTAAACAGAGAAAGCATAACAAATGCAACTGTGATGATTCAGCCTTCATTAATTGTAAGTGTGATTGACATTGCGTTCTCCTTTAATTTTATTTCCACTTTTTTTAGATCTGAAAGATTTGATAAGCTTGCATACCTTTTTGTTTCCTTGATTGTGCAGGATCATACTGCAATCATTACTTTTTGCGAATGCTTGCAATGATTGGCAAGGGTCATTATGATGCTTCTTACAATGCAGGTACATAATTCATATGTGTTTCAAAACATTAAAATTTAAATGGAGGGGAAGCCAAGGAGTTGTTTCCTCTTCTTTTTGTGTTCTATTCTTTTACCCTTGGCTTATAGTTATTTGTATTTGTTGTCATCTGTTTTTATCTTTTTGACGCAATGCAACATGTTGCTGCTGAAGGCATAGCCTTGGTCAAACATGCAGAAGATGTTGCAAGTAATAAGAAGGCCGAAAAGAGATTGCAGGTTGATCCTACCACATCGCCAATAATGATCTTTAGGGTCTGCTAGAAGGATTGGAGATTGCAGTTAAGCTTTTATCTAATATTTCACGCCAAGGACTTGATGAATTTAAGCTAGCAATGTTTTACTTGATTTTGGACATGAACCCTAAGATATCATATTTTGACATGGCTAGAAGCTTTGGAGGAAACGAGACTCAAACAAAAGTAAACACACACAGAGTTGTTGGCACATAGTAAGCTAGATAATGTAATTGTATATAAATGAGTTCATTTTTTTATAACATTTACTCACTATTGGAATAATTATTTGTATTTGACATATTAGTGAAATAAATTATCTTTGTTATTTATGATATTTTATTTTGTATTATGATATTTTTAATGTATTATTTAATTTGAAAATTAGTAAATCAATAAATAATTTTTTTTAAACATTTAAAATTACGATACGCAAAAATGTGTGTCATCTTCATTTATGACATGGCTTTTCTTGACAGGGTCTTTCTTGATACGCATTGCATGTCATTAACACGCGCGTCGTAAGGTTATGACACGCGAATGCGTGTCGTCTTCCTTTATGACAGGGCCTTCCTTGATACGCATTGCGTGTCGTAAACATGCGTCGTAATTGCACGTCGTAAATGAGCGTCGCAAATGCGCGTCGTCTCTCTTTATGACAGGGCCTTCCTTAACGCGCATTTGCGCGTCGTCTGAGCCTTTTACGACGCGCAATGAGCGTCGTAAAAGGCTGTTTTTCTAGTAGTGCAACGATATTCGAAGAAACTTCAATCACCTATACTGCTCAATCTATTCTACCATGCTGGCACTACAATTTCCTGGGATCCCCGATCCCCTATCTAGACACTAAGATCCTTACCAAGTCCCACCTGTCTAACCACTCTCGCACGGGCCTCGCCCAAGGGTCTCATCCAATCATACTACTGAGCAACCCTGCACTTAGGTCTCACCTATACTACTATTCTCATACGGGCCTCGCCCACGGGTCTCACCCGATTATATCGTAGAGCGGCCTCTCCCAAGGTCTCACCTCTCAAGGGCTATACAGGCAAACTCCTTACCATTCTCATCCATTACCCATTCCTGATGCCTATCTAAATGCTAGGAGATAAGGGCCTCGCCCCGACTCCGCGAATGAAGCCACTATGGAATGCTACGGCTTACCCGCAGTCTTACATCACCTTTTATCGTCGTCTGCTAGTGAATGCTACGGCTGCCCCATAGTCTGACAACACTTCCCACCACTGACTGCTAGTGAATGCTGCTGAAGAAAGCTGAGGCTCTTCTGCCACTCTTCCATGCTCTACATGCTGCTTCTACCACTGACTACTAACACGAAAGCATCTTATGCTATCTGACCTCAATACCTTCATTCCGACTCACACGAGTCCTACAGGCGACCCTTCAACCTGAATCCGAACCACATACTCACCATTACCATTTACACGCACGAACTGATGGGGAATTTCTCAAACTCCCAACCCTGAACTACCCAATCCATCAAACGCTGAACTACCTCTTTTCCTTCTCAGAAGTCGCATTCTCGTTCTGGATTTGCGTGCTCTTACCCTTGTACATTCGAAGGATTCTCCCCCACTTCGATCCTGCTTACACCTCGCTTCTCAATGAATAGAAATCCCAATCCTTGCTACCATTCCATAATCAATCAGCTGAGGAACCCCAAACTTACCACAGCTAGGGATCTAACCGATCCATTTCTAAAACTTATACGGCTTCGAACTAGCGAGACATACCGAGTCCCTCCAACGCATGCTACAGGTACTGCACCCTAAGTAACCTTCTTCGATAGAACCCATCCCTTAACTACTAACCAAATATCCAAGCTATGCAGATGGCATATAACTCGATCACAACCAAACCGCTCAAAAATGAAATGCTTATACCGATAATGATGCAGAACCATAACAATATAATATCATACACAAACAAAAGAACTGAAAATGGAAATCGCATACCTGCAATGTCCGGCACTGCTCGCACCTCCAAAGTAGCCATCTAAAAAGCCCTGCCTCCTACCGCAGGCGCCTCTGCACGGCCCTGACGGCTGTCTGTGATCCTCAAGGTTGCAGGGGCAAGTGTCGTCACCCGTCCTACTGAAAAAAAACTGGGGCACTGGGCCTTCTTGTGGCCCCACTGATTGCAGTGAAAACATATCAAGTCTGATCCCTGAGTGGTGGTTAAAGTACAATCCCTGCTAAAATGACCAGTCCGACCGCACTTGAAGCAGCCAGACTTACCACCACTACCACTCCTGCACGCGCCCCCGTGCGCCCTGCCACACTTTCCGCACCGACTACGGTCCTGATACTCCCTCGATCTCGAATCCGATCCCTTGGGCCTTTTGCCCGAACTTACGGCTACCTGAACCTCATCCGGCTTCCTCTTCCGGATCTGCTCCAAATCAATTTTCCTCTCCCTGGCCCGAGAAATCATATCTTCTAGTATCTTACAACCGGACCTGCTCACGAACTCCCTTATGTCATCCCTCAGCATCTCGTGATACCGGGCCTTCTTCATTTCCTCATACGCGACATACTACGGTACGAGAAGAGCCCTCTCCCTGAACTTGGCGGTGATCTCCGCCACAGTCTCAGTAGTCTATGTCAAATCCTGAAACTCCTGGACCAGCTGTTGCACCTCATAAATTGGCGAAAACTCCGCCCTGAACGTAGCTAAGAAATCGCTCCAAGTCATCGCGTTCAACGCGGCATCATCACCTAAAACATGACCCATCTCTTCCCACCAATCCCTCGCTCTGTCCTTCAGAAGACAGGAAGTGAGTTTGACCTTGTCCTCCTCAGGACACCGGCTCGTACGGAACGCGTTGGCAACATCAGCCAACCACCTACTGCTAGCGATGGGGTCCCTAGCCCCATGATAATCTGGTGCCCCGCAAGCCCTAAACTCCCGAAATTTCAAGGTACGCGCTCCCATCAATGCCATCATCTCAGTACGGAAGGCTCCCAACCTCTCATCCAAAATTTCCAATATACCCTCCTTAACCGTGCCAAAGATCACAGGAGTCTGAGCTAGAATACTGCACATAACCTCAGCTGATATCAACTCTCTCATCCGCTCCTCGAGCTGCTCGGCCCCTGAACCTGAGCCTGATCCCTCTACGACGCCTGACCCGCCCACTGGTCTCTCTCGCAATGTCACCATGGTGAAACATATAACATAACCATTATCAGAATACTCCTCACTGCTGCGAGACCAAACATACTCACTACCAGGTTCCCAGTCTTGTCTCGGCCTTTCCCGAATCGAGTACGGATCCTATGCTTTCAGTAATACGGGCCCATACTACCTTCCACATCTATCCGTACTTTCCTCAAGAACTGCTTCGACTCCACCAGGTCCCTTTTCTACTACTACAGCTCCCCGCACTACCTCATCCTAGGCTTACCCTAGGGAAACCTCTGACTCAACTCAAACCAGTCCTCAGCTGCTGAAGGTCTCCTTGTGATTTCAATTAGCCATCACCTGGATACCATCACATGTGACGAGGCTCAGATAATCCTTCAAGTAAAATACTCATCCCTACAACGGTTGGACTCAAACAAGAGCTGCACAATAGGACCAAATCCAACACTCTAAGATTATTCAACCCTGATCACATGCGACGTGTCGTATCCACCTAATGGCTAACTCCCATCACTCAGAATCCCACAAATGTCAAAGCAAGCAGCATTCAGACAAAGGGAAAATCTAACCATAACATACTCAAGCAATCATAATATCATACCAAGAATTTGAACTAGCATGCAACAAAAACTCATAAACTCAGGCATAACCTAAACAGGCTATCCTACTACTGTCTAACCAATACTATCATCCAGCTCAAAAGCACATATAACAGGCACATAAGGCATCATCACTAGATCCTTAGTCCTAATCTAGCATGCTGTTCTATTAACTGATAATCAAAACATAGATTATATGGGTATTTTGGGGTACTTACTTGAGCTCGGTTGATTGCATGCACCACACCTCTTTCCTCTATTCAAAGTTCTTTTCTTTTTGAATTGTTTTTGCTTTTCTAAAACTGTTTTCTTTCTCAAAACTCTCTTTTTACTAAACTGTCTTTTCATTTTGAAAACTTCTATACCAATTCCTCAGTTTGAGTTCAGACACACCCGAGAGCATGTCCGAATCCCTCAAACCAAGGCTCTGATACCAACTTGTAACGACCCAAAATTCAAGACCAAAAATTTCTTTTAATAAAACATTACTTTAAGCAAAGTCATCATTCCAAAACATAATCTGAGTATAAGTTTTCAAAACACATGTTCATTATCAGAGTAAACATCCCCAGGTTGTCTAATCTATGGTGTGTGCCATGCGATCACCCTGAGCTCTTCCCTCCGCTACCGGAAGTACCTGAAACCAAAACTGAAAACCGTAAGCACGAAGCTTAGTGAGTTCCCCACCCTACCACATACCATGCATAATCGCATATTGCACACACTGGGCCACCCCCACTATCTTGGGCCTTGCCCCCTGCCTCGGGCCTCGCCCGCTATAACGGCCCTGCCGCTCCAGGCCCCGCCTGGCTTCGAGCCCCGCTCGGATACAAATCTATTTCACTTAGGCCTCGCCTGTCACAAGGCCTCGCCCACCAACGAATAATAACACATAAACATATCACAACACATAAACTAAACACATACAATTGGTTCTGTCCTAAGGCCTCGCCTATCCTGGGCCTCGCCCTTGTCCTACTACTGATGAGCCATGGAACCCCGTCCATACTCCTACTGGTAGTGAGATACGGGCCCAGCCCCCTCTCACTCCTTCCCTAACTTGGGCCTCGCCCCTGTTCTGCTACTAATGAGATGTGGAACACCATCCACACTCTGCTATTGGTGAGATACGGGACCTCGCCCACACTCACCTCCCTACCAGGCACATACATGTATCACACAGACAACAAGTATAGACTATCATATAAACAAATCCTTGGTCACCCGCCCGCTATTAAGGGACCTCGTCCTGAAAATCATATTAGCATACTGTGCTTAGGGCTAACCCCCGGGTCTTCTACTCATAACTACATGGGCCGACATTGTGGCCTTAGACCCATTCACACAAAGGGAAACTCACTTGCACTGGCTGAACTTGCTGATGATCTCACTAGATGCTGCCCGGCAACTCACTGAACTCCCGCTCCCCTTGCTCCCCGAACTACCAATATC